AATTAAACAAAAATAATATTCTTCCAAAATAAACTTGTAGAACTAAAATATCACCTTCTGGAATTTTTCCCGAATTTTATAACCTAAAATCCAATTTTAACAACTAATTGATAATTTTCCCAATATTAACTAGAAAATACAAAAAAAGCAACTACAAATATTCTAAATTCGTTCTAAATTTTATATTGAATACTAGGAGTGATATTACTGTGAATTTAACTGGAATTAGGACAGAAACTAATTTTTTTCCTTTTTTGAGTATTTAATTTAATTTATGCAATAATAACCACTAAATGCCGGAATTAATTAAAATTTACTTCTACTTCATAAAAATTAACTTTGTTTTGATAAATAACTACCTTGAGGCTAGTAAACAACTATATAATTAATTGGAATGGATTTAATGTCAACAACTATTTTATTCAAATTTAAGACGAAAATGCGAAATAGTTGAATAATTTTCTGGAAATTTTAGAAGCACAGATAAAAATAACTAAGTACAGATTCAGATTCTACTCATTGAAAGGATGAAAATACATATAAAGAACTCACAATTTGGAGCTAAAATGAGAAAGATATGAAAGATTGAAGTTGAAGGTGCAACAATGGTGGAAATCCGAGCTTTGAGGAGGAAGAAGACGCCCTTTTTGATCTGATTTGGGCTTGAAATTGGTGTATTGAGTTGAGGATGGAAGAGGGCTTTTATAGCCGGAGATTATTGGAAGGCGGCCAAGAAGGCGGCCGCCCTCCGGCCATGGCCGGCAGCCTTCGGTCATTTCTCCGACAAAGCTTCGTGCACGGGTCGATTCCGCCGCAGGCGTCCACGGTAGGCGGCCGCCCTCCTTGGCCGCCTCCCGTCTTGTCTCAGCTACCGGCAGCTCGTAAATCACATCCCACCACAGGCGGCCACAGAGGGCGGCCGCCCTCCGGCCCCCGTCGGCAGCCTTCCATCATTTTGTCGCCATGCAAAGTGTTAAGTGCTGAAACTGTCAAAAACTCGTAGGCTCCCGGAAAGGCGGCCGCCTGCTCCACCGCCTTACGTCAAATGGAAAAGTTGTCTTCACCAAAGTTGTAGCTCTCTTTCTTGGCTAACTACTGGAATTTGAATCGCATTCATTGGATTTGTAGTTTATGAGATATGGTCAAAACGGTGACCACATGTCACTTTCCATCGCAACTGCAAATGTCTGACTTCTTTGAGCAATATGTCCATTCTACGGTGGTTATTTGGCTCTGTGTTCTTCATAAGAGTTGTAGATCAGGAAGATATCAATGTAATGAAACTCGTATCACGAACGTTGGACAATTATGCGCAAAGTTATGATCACAATACGAACATGTGTCTCTATGCATCGTCCATTTTCATCAAAAGTAGCCATATATGTGACTCCTTCGTGGTTTTGAACTTCCTTGCATGATTTCTTCATCACTTGGACTTTTTTCATTGAACAATTGGTCAATATATCTTGCAAACTTCTGTATCAATTCATTTGTTGGCAAAAAGTGCCACTTTCTTCACGCAATTGACCCGAAATTTCACAAAACATGTTATGAATGCGATTTTTACCCGATTTCATGAAACTTGAACCAAAATATATAAAATGTGCCTTGTTTTTCTATTTTTCAATCCAGAATCGCTTAAATTTGATAAGAAAAATAAGTACATAAATGGACTTATCACCAACCTAGAGGGATCCAAATCATGTTTAGTATTTGAACGGGAGTGCAATGGCAGAAGTGTTCCCTAAACATAAGCCTATATTATGAAGCCCACATGTGCATATAAATATCTAGGTATACATAATAAATTTGCATGTTTAATTATTGAACTACAATAAAAACAACGGAGTAGAAAAAAGGTCCGCCGAAGGGAAAGTACCTTCCAACTGCAAGCAAGAGTCATAAACAGGCTGCAAATTGACCGGAAAGGTGTAGGATAGGTCAAGATAAGTCAAATCTAGAAACCCACGTAAATTATTAAAGAAAGTAAGTAGATGATAATAAGAATGATATCAATGGGCCATACCTCTAGAGTACAGCTGAAAGCTATTGCAGACATCGAAGCTGAAGTGATTCCTTCACAACTGTGAAGCTTAAGCACTTCTAATGTTGTAAGCCTAACAGAATGCAAAGGAAAAGGAGAAGTCAGTGTGCTATCCTAACATATTGCGAAAACCCAAAACACAAAATGTAAGTGTGTACACTGAAGGTACTATGGGATCCCGGAAAATACTAGAGAAAGGAAAACAAATGATAAGGAAAGTTATTTCTTACTTTTGTCTTTACCTTGGAAACTAGAAAGATAAATGGATTATGATTAATTTGAAAAAAAACATATACACTTAAATCACTAAGGCTTTGCACAACAAAAAATATAAAAAAAAAAAATAGTTTCAACAAGTATAATATATAATAAATTATTCAGTTTTGGATCTAGCTTTTATTTTACACCAAATTGTATGTTCTTCCAATTACCTTCTCTTTTTTCCTTCTTACTGTTATGTTTATGGAATGGCTCTCCTGATGAAAAATGGAGGTGTTTTTATTATGAATGCAAAGCTATCTTTTTATTGCAGGGATTTTAGGATTCACAATAGCTTAAACAAGGAAAGCAAGATGACAGCAGATAATTCCAAATTAAATAACAAAGGGTATAAAACTAAGCAGAACTTAGGCAATCTTCAATCAATCAAAAGCCCTCAAACTTTTACACAACCCTCTGGATATTTGTCCTTTTTTCTCAGTCATTTCCTATTATTGAGTGTTCCTAAAAATGTCATTACTCTCCTCAAGGAAAGCCAAAGTTTGCAATTTTGTTTTCCAATCATAGAGTCATGAGTTACGATGATGGCTTCATCAAGAGACAGTGGGACTTCTTCTACATTAATCCTGAAAAAATTTAAAGAGCAGTTAAAAAATGAACTTCATGGTAAGGACTAAGGACTAACCTAATCTACTCATGCTAACTATGGAAGTCCTCGATGAACTCATTTATTGGTCTGCCACTAAGTATTGAGTTTGCTAGCTTTGGTTCACCCCGAGAGAGAATCACTAAGAGGTTAGATTTAATTTAAATATATTTATCAGAAACGATAAACATCTTATGTGGACTTTAACATGCCCTCTTAATCCTAACCAGGCTGGATAACTCAAGGGTTGAGTTAATTGACCAAACCAGCCCCAAGAGGCTACAATAAATTATGGGCATCAAACGAACCACAATTGTATCAGCACTTCTATCATATTAAATTGGCCTAAATCACACTAGTGAGGCTACTTCATACTTATATAAAACACAGAGCTGGTTAGAAAACATCAAATGGATTTGATTTTGCATTGCGATGCAGCTAATTGTGTGGTCAACGAATTCACTGATTTAGCCAAACCAACATATGATCGCACAGCAGTTTGGAGGGCACAAACATCCGCTGTCAAAGCTTTTGATTTCCCACTTCAGCAACCAGCAATAGAATCAAAATGTTATGTTTACAGAAGAAGGCTTGCGTTAATAAGCGATTAAGGTATTGTGTGGGTGAAACTGGTTTGCTTATGGTGAAAAGGGGTATGCCGCTAAATGCATATAAACGGACTAATAGAAAGGCACAAAAGAACTTGGAAGTTACAGTGTTTCTCTCCACAATTGCGAACTTCTTATATGTAGCAGAATTACAACGTTTATCATAGCTTTAGCAAGGAAAGCAATATCACAAGGAATTATTTCAAATAAAATGAAGAAGGAAATCGAACTAAGTGGAACATTCACAATAACCCTGAAGTTATTTATCCCTTCCATTTTTTGGTCTTTTACTTTTATTAATGTTTCCAAGAAATGCATCACCTACTTTCTTTCCCTAGATTGTCCCGTCTTTCGAACATGCCCTAACAGAAAACTATTTCAGCATCAGGTGGCATGCACAGAATGGATTTTAAACTGACCTCAAGAGAGATGTTTGGGCGGTATGAAGCATCAAGAACACGGAGACTCAAGCAGGTGAGATATATTTCACACGATATTTCATCGTTAGAACATGAACCGTTTGACATATCCACGTATTTTAAGAGTGAACATGAGGTTGATGCAGAACGAATAGCAGCATCTGGAAGCTTGTGACATGAAGCTATATCAAGGTCATGTAAAAGTGGCCAATTTAGCACAGCATAGGGCATGCTACTCCATTTTAGGGACAAAGTTTCAAGCAGAGAATGCCGGTAAAAAACAGAACACCTGTAATGAAAAGGTTTAATGCAACTTAAACTTGACACTTCTTGCACATGTTTATTTATGTGTTAACCTGACAGAACTTCCAAGTACCCAGCAATTCATGAGCTGAGGGCAACAAAACCTTTCAAGGTAAATAGGTATTTCCTGAATACCATTTCCAACAGTAGAATCACTAATGACTAGGGTATTCTACACATGGCAGTCAGGTGGAGCTTGGAATAATGCTTCTCCAAATTGACCTTTGCAGCACACTAAATTCAGCGCATATAATCATTTAAATAATTTAAATATCCCAAACTTTGAAGGAATGTGATGTAAGTACCCCAAACTTGCACATGTAATATATATACCTCAAACATTATATAAAAAGGTATGTTAGCACCATGACCATATATTTTTTCATAAATGTAATTTTATGGTCTTAAGTACATAATTTTAAATACACAACATTTATGAAGATGTAATTAAAATTAATATTATTTATGAAGGATGTAATATTATTTATTTCACAAATGAAATTGTAGAATGTTAATTGCAAACTAACAAGGCTTGAGGTTTTTTAAATTATATAATTATTCCAATAAATTTGTATTTGTAAAAGACATATAATTATGGTGCGGAAATAACTTTTTATATAAAGTTTGGGAATATATATTACATACTATCGTATAAAGTTCTAAGAAGAGTATATTTCACTTACCTGGTCTTTGGTGAGAACTAAATGAACAAAAATAGTTCAAACAGGACTAGGTAAGTGAAATATACTCTTCTTAGAATCTGGTTCCTATATTGCCACTTGAACAGACACCCATTGACGTGCCAAACTAATTTCCTTATTTTGAAAAAAAAAATGCACAATAAACTGCTGCTGCAACAATGATCAAGAACAGAAATTCAAGTGTCTTCCCCTGTGGTAAACCTTCTTAATGAAAACAATCAATCCCATGCAACAAGAATGTAGTCCCTCTATATGTGAGTGATCTGCTATGAGTGCCAATGCACCATAAATGGCCTTGCTGTTCAAGATCTCCTTTCACTCCGGCTGTTTCCCATATAAACTTAAACAACCCCAGGGCCCGATCAAGCTGCTTCACTCCTCTCAAAAGCATTTTCTCTTCATATGATGTCAATATTTTCCCCATGCACAGGCGAACTTATCCCCATGACCAACAGCATATAGTCCCCCACGAACTTCTACTTCAATATCGCTTACGCTACCATAAAGATAATACGTGAGAAGTGTAAATAAGCACCGAGATGAGTGGCCCAGTCTCTTGGTTAATATCTTTTGTACTAAGCTTTCTTGATGGCGGTTTTCCCTGTATCCAATGTTTTTATCTATCAGAATATCCCTTATCTGATAGAGACCTTCTTTCATGGCCTCTATCTTCCTAACCTCTAGAGATAATTTTGTTACCTCACTCAAGCAGTCAGCAAGATCAATGAACATCTCAAGAATGTCTTCCCATTTGTGTGAAGTGGGAGGTGAATTAGCATCTCTTGTGGGTGCAACTCGCATCCATGAACTGGAATCGGGGTTGTAAGAAATCGCAATGTCCAAAACCTTCAGACAGCTCAAAACAATTTGCTTTGCCATTTTAGTTTCTTTACTAGGGAACCTAGAATCTAAGTACTCCATCTCAGATTTCAACTTATTTGGTATCACCTCAAGCGCACCAGTCCATATCTGATGTTGAGTTACCTGGGGACATATCGTTGCCCTGACTACCTTCCTTTGTTGAGCTGAAACATTCAAGAACTCAGAAACCTTTGTGAGTGAATCCACAGTCATTGGTTCTCTCTCACCAGCTTTATTAAAACAATGAAGCTGCTGGTTCTCATTTGCATTGCTCCCTAAAGACATAATAATATTTTTCCTCATGATTTCTTGAACCAAAGGACACCCAATAAAGTCTCTTGTTAGAGACTTAAAAAGATGCATGTTTTCTAGCAAAACGTCATCTTCAATTACGGATTCATCAATAACATTAACAGTCCTACCATTAATGACGTCCACATTATTTAGCAAGTGGGATAACTCTGATAGCTTTGAGAAGGCTTTTTCATACCAATCAGACGAAAAAGACTCCAACTTCGGTTCCTCGAAGCAATGGTACGAAATGGAATTCATTCTGATCACAGCATTCTGCCTGGCTGACAAAACCCTTGATCCACATAGGAGATTTCTCACAGCTCTCATTGCCATCGCCTAACAAAACTTCACACCAATAACATTTCTATGGAAACCTCTTCCACTGAACCACCAAAAACTGGGTTCTTCCCGAAACAGTTCACCGTCACATTACAGTTCGTCTGTGTAAAGAGAGCCCCTGGGAGAGAGGACGAGGCGTCGAAGTGTGGGCTAAGAATTCAAGAGCTACAAAAAGCTTAATTTGATGGCTTGGAAAGAAATTGGAAATATCCCACACCGAGGACGTTAGGAGGAGTTACCGCTGTAGAATCTATAAATTGGGTAACTTGTTTACTTCAATTCTCACGCAGCCACGCTATAAACACAAAGCGAACTATTCTTTCGCCTTTTACTAAAGAATACCGTGTGTTAGTAGCAATTAGTGGCATACGCCCATTTTTGGAGGGTCTCCTTAATAAAGGAGCCCAACTAATTTTAGTTCAAAATTTGTACTTGTACCCATGGTGCTTGATGTGTTGAAAAGCTCTTTTATACTTCTTCCGTTTCTTTTTTTTAATTGTAACAGTTAATATATCATGTTTGTCAATGCAGGTTTGATCATTAATATTTTTCATTCTTATTAGTAAAAAACTTAAAAATTTGATATTTTGAAATTTTAGAATGAGAAGAATTTAACAATATTTTTTAAAAATTTAATTTATTATACATCAATTAATAAAATGTAGTGTAGAACATGTGAATATTCCAAAAAGTCCAATGTTGCAACTAAAAGAGAACGGAAGTAGTACTAACTCCGTCCCAGGGAGAAGTTCTCACTTTTCTTTTTTGGCAATCTCAACAAAAAGTTCTCATTTTCTTAAATGGAAAGTTATCATACATAAAAACAGTGTCGAAACAGTGTCAAAAATAAAATTTACCTCTCAGTAACTTTATTTCCTTAATATGTGTGAAAGTTAACCCGGGAACTTCTCCCTGGGACGGAGGGAGTAAGTGGGATTCCTAAAAATATTGAAATTGTGAATTGTTAGTATTGAAATCCACCCACGATTCATATTCAAAAACGGGTTGGAAAGTATGCTTTTTTAATTTAATTAATATATCATTTTTTATTTTATACGGAGTGATCCCTCCGTCCCTATTATATCTTCCAAATAGGTTTGGCACACAGTTTACGATAGTTGGTATTGTGTGGTGGAGAGTTGTGCAGAAGAGAGAGAAATGTGTAAGAATTGCTGTGAACCACAAATTCTGGCCAAAAAGGGAAAGTGGAAGTTTTAATTGGGACGGACGAAAAAAGAAAGTTGGAAGTTTATTTAGGGACGGAGTATTAAAAAATCACCTAAAAATAACATCAGTTTTAGAAATTTTAGAAAACGCTAACAAATTGTATTTGTACATGTTTTTAAATTCTTTCTTTCCCGTAAAGATAGCCACATGAATAAAATTTGGGCAAACAATTGAATTTTACAAACATTAAATGTTTGCTAAAAATGACTGATAAAGGGTAAAAATTGTATTACCTCGTCCAAAAAATTATGTCATTTACTATGAGTGTAAACATTAAAGTGTTTATAGCTAGGTTGTGACTCAAATGGAGGAATTCATTTAAGAGGGGCAATTCAGTTCATTTAAGTGATTGGCTCATTTTAACCACACAATGGGTGGGGTTAAAATGGGGTACCCCAAAATGGTGTACACCAAGCAAAACTCAAAATCTCTATCGTGAATAGATTTTTAGGTCTAGTTTTCGGAATATAGGGAGTAGAGTCATGAAATAAACCATTTTACCATAAACTTTAAAGTTTTAAAAAAGAGCTTCTGTAAATTTTTAAGAATAGACTTGAAATTGTTTAAAATATAAAATATTCCAAAGCTTGGAATTGAGTAAATATGACTAAAACATTCATAGATTCTTAACATATTACTAGCAAAATTAAACATGACTTTATAAGAATAATAATTGAATTCAAAAGAAAAAGTAGATCCAAAACACATACCATACATTTTGGCAAGTTTGAAGGATGATATAGATCTGGAGAAGTATTCCGTATTTGACAATCTAAAGAGAGACAATTGGATGCGGGAGAGGGGATTGCCTAATTCCACTCTTTCTCCCCCGGGTAGCTTATATTAGGGCTGGACTCGGGCCGGGCGGCCCGAACCGGAACCGGCCCGGCCCGGTTACTGTGCGAACCGGCCCGGCCCGGTGGCCCGGTCCACCGGCGGTTCGGGTCGAACCGGCCCGGTGGATACCGGTTCCGGGCCCGGGCCCTCCATTTGGTGAACCGGCCCGGCCGGTTCGGGCCCGGTCCGGGCCGGAATAATTTTTTTTTTTATTTTTTTTTTTGAAATTTTTTTAATTTTTGGGTTGGATTAGTTATTTTGGGCCATTTGAGGTGGTTTGGGGTGGTTTGGGGTTGAGGAGGAGGGGTAGAGGGTTAAATAAAAGAAGCCAAAAATTTAAAAAAAAAAATAGGGGCGGGTGAACCGGCCCGGAACCGGCCCGGTCGGGCCCGGAACCGGCCCGGAACCGGTCACCGCCGGTTCGGGCCCGGGCCCTCCTATTGGTGAACCGAGGCCCGGCCGGTTCAAGGCCCGAACCGGGCCCGGCCCGAACCGAGTCCAGCCCTAGCTTATATGAATGTAATCTCTTTCATTGAGGAAGATGGTAAAAAATGGAATGAACAAAGGGTTAGAAGTTTCTTCTCAAAAAATAAGCAAAATATCACAGTTTGAGACGGGGTCCAGATGAGTTTTACTAGTGGCCCAAATTTCAGCATAAATTACAGCGAGATCATGGAAAATGGGTGGCTCCACTGGACCAGAATGTGGAAGTTTTTATTCCCCCGATAACTAAATTTTTTTGGCAGCTAATGGTGGGGTTCTTGCCTACATCGAATAACTTGAGGAGGAGAGTGGACGTTAATCCATTGTGTTTTCTTTGCGGCGCAAAGAGATGAAGTTGCATATTTTTACTTGTTGTGATGTCTCTTCGGTGGTCTGGGCTATGTTGTGAGCGGTGTTTCAAAGGCAAGAGATGATTTAATTGATTTGATTAAAAAATTGATCATATGCAGGATGGAGAGCTACGCATATTTAGTGTCACTTTGGAGTATATGGAAGGCCGGAACAATGTTGTTTGAAAGGATATCATGTTTAACTTGGAGCAAGTGTTGATAAGCAATGCTACAAGGGAGGCGGAAAGCACGGGAGGACATCAGCAAGAAGGCCGCTCCCAGTAACGCCGACAAGGTTAGGTAGAAGCCAGATAGAGGAGAAATTGAAGTCAATGTAGATATTTCTTTGGGCAACATGCGGGGAAGAAGAGCTTAGGGTTAGGTGGCTCAAGACTATTCAGGCAATTTCACGTCTAAAGCATGTTGGAATGCAACTTTGGCGGAAGCTCTGGGATTTGAGCGGTGCTACATTGGGTCCCCCGACAAAACTCAAGTAGGGTGACGGTTGAAACATACTCGTCAGTTGTAATGCTGAGGATACTTCGAGAGGATTATAATTCTTATCTAGATGCAGCTATTGAAGATATAAAACACATTTTGCTTCATCAAGCGGGTAATGAAGTCATGTTCTGTCAAAGGTCAATCGACATGGTATCTCACAAACTTGCTATGGATGCTTGTTTATTGTTTAAGGCAGAAGGAAGCTAATTTTATAGTACTAATCTATATTGTATTATTTGTCAACTGATGAACAATGCTTTAAACTAATTTAGTTTTAATGATTTCCTTTATAAAAAAAACACATACCATACATATAAAATACTACTCCATATTAATTTAAGAATACAAAACTATCTTGTCGGAATAGGTTCCTCTTTTAGTCATACTCCGAGTAATTTTCTCTTTATTGTACTTATGGCTGGACTCGGGCCGGTTCGGGCCTGGGCCCGGCCGGGCCTCGGGCCAGAAAACTGGGGCGCGAGCCCGAACCGCCGGTGGCCGGTTCTAGGCCAAACCGGGCCGGGCCGGGCCAAACCGGTCCATTTTTTTTTGTTCTCCTATTTAACCCCTTACCCCTCCCCCTCAACCCCAAACCACCCCAAACCACCTCAAATGGCCCAAAATACCTTATCCAACCCAAAACTTAAAAAAATTTCAAAAAAAAAATTAAAATCCAGCCCGGACCGGGCCCGAACCGGCCGGGCCGGTTTGCCTAAAGCAGGGCCCGAGCCCGGACCGCCCATCACCCGGGCCGGGCCAAACCGAACCGCTGGACCCACCAGGCCCCGGGCCGGGCCAGGCCAAACAATAACCGGGCCGGGCCGGTTCCGGGTCGGGCCGCCCGGCCCGAGTCCACCCCTAATTGTACTCCTTCCGTTACATTGGACTTTGACAACTTTCTATTTTTATTTGTCCCAAAAACTTTGCTACTTTTCTTTTAAAGTAATGAGTTTGTGATTCTTTTTTTAAAGGAAAATTTTATTGATAGGAATAAGAGTATAGTGCGAGAAGGAAAAAGAAAATAGTATTGAAAAAGAAAATGTAAAGCAGTGCAAAAAAGAAAAAAGCTAATTTCAGGGAAATATCTTGGACTGGGATCTAGTCCTCATACTGTGACACCTTTTATTTTTCTGGAATTTCCTGTAAATTTTTAGTTGTCTATTGAGGTTGTCCTTATTTTTCTCTTCCTACACAAATTTCAATCATAGAGTTTTTACTTTTCTTATTTCAAACTCAAATCAAAGTAGGCAATATTGTGAGAAGAAAATCCAGATAGATATCTATTTAGTCCAAACTAAAGCCTGGCAATAGCCATGAAAAGACTTCAGTACACGGTATTCACATTCACAATATGGATTC